TTTTTTTTTTTTTTAATTGAGTTTCACTGTCGCCCAGGCTAGAGTACAGTGGCACGCTCACAGCCACCCCAGTGTCAACCTGCTGGGCTCAGGTGACCTTTCCGCCTCAGCTTTCCAAGCAGTCAGAACTACAGGTGCGTGCTACCACACCCAGCTCATTTTTTTATTTATCGCAGAAATGAGGTCTTACCAAGTTACTCAGGCTGTTCTTGAACCCGTTGGGCTCAGGCAATCCTCTCACCTCGGCCTCCCAAAGTGCTGGGATTTCAGGCTTGAGCCACCGCACCCAGCTTGTTTTTTAAGAGACAGGGTCTCACTCTGTTGCCCAAGCTGGAGTGCAGTGGCACAATCACAGCTCACCGCAGCCTTGACCTCCTGGGCTCAGGCAATCCTTCTGCCTCAACCTCCCGAGTAGCTGGGACTACAGGAACATGCCACCAAGTCCAGCTAATTTTTTGCTTTTTTTTTTTTGTAGAGACGAAATCTTGATATGTTGCCCAGATTGGTCTTGAATTCTTGGGTTCAAGCAATACTCTCATCTTGGCCTTCCAAAGGACTGAGATTACAGGCATGAGCCACTGTACCTGGCTGGAAGTACTGTTCTTAACAGCAAAAGGCTGGGACACCCCAGACAGCCAGTCCAAAGGAGCCAACGAAATAAGCAACAGGCACTGCCCTGCCAAATGCTAATGAGGCTGTTTAGAAGAACAAGCCAAACGGATGTGGCCAGACAGGCACAGGCTCATGGGAAATCATCTCAGAAACAGGCCAGGACAAGCAGCCAGGCTCCTGGACATGGTGAGGCCACACATGTGGGCACAGACAGGGCATGTGGGGTGGGCACTCACGTTGGTCTCCTCCAGGACGTCCTGCAGCTCGTGGGACTCGGCTCCGGTCAATGCAGCGCCCATGTCGCTCAGGTAGATGGGGTTGTCCACCACCCGCTGGCCCGCCTGCATCATCTGTAGCACTGACTCCCTGAGGGGACAGAGAGACACTGCTGCTGTGGCAGCCAGGGCCTGGGAGGAACCTGAGCCTCAGCGGCCTTTCCTGGGGGTTCCGGGCAAGGCCCTGGACGCTCACTTGGGTCCACACTGCTTCCTGGGCCCCACCAAGTTCAGGGCCAACAGGGTCTGCCCACACCAGGCTAGAGACTCACGTGCCCAAATGCACTCCCCCTGGCAGCTGTGTGGGCCTCGTCCCTCCCGAGACTGCCTGCTCTCCCCCGGTTGATGACAATACAGGCTTCTGGCCTTAGGAAGACAGGGACAACCTGGGCCTGTAAAATCGGCCGATTCCCTGTAGGCCACTCTGACCTAGCTACAGGAAGGGCCGGAGAGACCCCAGCCTGGCCAGGTGCATGCAGCAGACCAACCTGTAGAGAGGGTTCAAGGCGATGATGTCCCGGATGGTCTTCACAATCTCAGCGGTCAGGGCCTGGAACACAGGGAGGCCACAGGTGTCACCGGAGCCTGACAGGGCTCCTGCCACAGGGGTGTGGCCCCTGGAGTCCCTCCCACCTGCTGTCCCAACTCCCACCCACACAGCCCTGGCCAAGGACGGCCTCAGAGACCAAGGAGTGGTGCTCACACTCACAAGGCCAAGGGATACCAGACAAAAGTGAAAACCAAAGCCGAAGCCCATCTCCCGAACCCTCTGAGCCTTGTGCCTTGCAGTGTCTTTGCTCCTTGAGACACGAGCCTCACAGCCCCTTCTCTGCCTCAACCATAAGGTGCCCAGACTGTGAGTTATCTTCAACTAGAGCAAGCCTGTGTCACCAAGGCTCTCAGCTGCCACCTCCTGGAATCTGGTGCCAGACTCTCCCTCTGCCGTGGGCACTGTGGGTATGGTACAGTTGGGGGCTATTTTCTTTCTTGCTGCCTCTTGAATTCACAGCAAGGCCAGCAGATCCCTGGCCAATCCCTGGACACAGCTGACAACAGAAAACCACAGCTCGACAAGAAGTAAGACAGCCACATTTTATTTTACTTTATTTTTGAGTTGGAGTCTTAATCTGTCGCCCAGGCTAGAGTGCAGTGGCACGCTCACAGCCACCGGAGCCCTGACCTGCTGGGCTCAGGTGATCTTTCTGTCTCAGCCTTCCAAGTAGCTGGAACTACAGACACGCGCCACCACACCCGGCTAATTTTTTGATTTCTTGTAGAGATGAGGTCTCACCAAGTTGTCTAGGCTGGTCTCGAACCTGTGGACTCAGGCAATCCCCCCCACCTCAGCCTCCCAAAGTGCTGGGATTGTAGGTGTGAGCCACCGCATCCGGCCCACAGCCACATTTTAACACGTCATACCGGTCTCTAATCACCGGGCTTGACCTGAGCTGAGTTGACCCCGGTGGCCGCTGGACGTCCCTCTCTGCTCCTCGGGATCTGCCTGACTCTTGTAGGCACAGTGTCTGTGGTTTAGTCATCTGTCTTTCCCTGCTGCGAGATGCATGTAGGAACTAGCACTGGGCTACAGCACAGCCAACAGCAGCTGTTTAAATTTAAATGAGTTCAAATCAAATACAGTTCTACATTCCATCCCTCAGTGGCACTTCAAGTGCTCAACAGCCAGGAGGGGCTGACGGTGCAGAATTACAAGATGTTTCCACCACAGCGCTGACCTCCAGGGCCTGTGTAGGCCTGTGGACAGGACTGTCTGCCCACACCTGCGGCCGTGCAGCTGAGCCCCTTTCAGAGTCCGTGGCAGACATCACCATTAGATCATGGCACCACTCCCCGCCAAGCTCAGCAGCAGCCCAGAATCCTCCTCTACACAACATCACAGCCTACTGTGACTAAGAACAGACCAACCAAAGGCCCTGGCTCTGCCTCACCTGTGTTCTGCTCAGAGAGGAGGGGACACCAGCACATACAGGAGGAGCCGGCACATTCCAGCCCTTGGGTTAGTTTTGCTAAGCGTCCCTACCAGCGAGAGGGCGGGTCGTCACTACCAGGCAGGCAGGATAACCTAGGTGTGCAGGCCAGGGTGGCCAAAAGCTGTTTCTTTCCTGTCCTGCAGCCCGGAGTGCCTGCCCCCTCTACTCTCCTCCTGGGCTTGATGGGAAGGAGGCAGAATGGCAGGTGCTTTGGTAGCCACTGGAGACTTCCGCACAAGGACACAGGCTGGGGCCTGGCCTGGGTTCAAGTCCTGCCTCCTTCAGAGCAGCCACGGGCCCAGGTGTGTCTCCCGAAGCCTTGGGAGCCCAGTGTCTTCCCAAGACTTTTGGGAGGAAAAGTATGCTACTCATTCCCAAGAACTGGCCTTCCAGAGGCACCAGACCTTCCCCGAGCGGCTCAGGGTCTTCCTGGAAAGGCTGTGGGATCCCCCGAGAGAGATGTACCCGGGACCGTGTGACCCGTGCGTGGCCTTACTTTCACCTCCTCCGTGACCTGGAAGTCTTCATGGACGACGTTCTCCACTTCCACCATGAGGACCTCGCCGGGGGCATCAGGGCTCGGCTCCCCTGCCACCTCGGCCTGGTGCCGGGCGCCCAGCTCATCCTCTGCCTCCTTCTTTCCCCGCTTCGCCTTCCTGCGCGGCTTCTGCTTGCTCTCGGCCTCCAGCTCCTCGGGCTCCACCTCCAGCTGTCGGCTGAGATGGATCCTGAAGACAGAGTGGGGTGCAGGTGAGTCATCAAGGCGGGGGGGTGACCTGGCCTGGGCCGAGGCCTTCCCGGCAGGTCCTGCTGAGTCCGGGCCCCTGTAGCCCCCAGGGCCTGTCTAGAGCCCCATAACCGGCGTCGCTTCTACCACAGGCTCAGACTCACACGTTCCCTGTGTCCCACGCCAATGCCCCACTGTCCTCCACAGGTGGACAAGCCCCAGGGACGAGCTGCAGTAACAAGCTCTGGGGTTCTGGCAAGCCGTCAGCCTAGCCAAGCCCAGGCCCAGCTCGAGGATCCAGGCTACCCGTGCTTGGCCTTGAGCCTGTCACACGGTGGCTCTGGGTCTGTTTCTCCGCATTCTGCCTACTGTCTGGCAGACACCAGGCCCCACCACCCCTCAGGTCTCTCTGCTGCTGCACGGATGAAAAGGGTACCTCCACAGAAGGCAGCCTGAGAGGTAGGTACTCAGGGTGCTGACTCAGTGCCTGGGTCACATGGCTACTGAGCGAGATGCGCAGAGGACAGGAAGCTGGGACCAGTCTGTCACCAAGCAGGCCCAGCCCGCGCCCCAGCAAGTCTCACTCGGCAAGGCACCCCGTGGGTCAGCTGAGTGGGCATAGAGTTAGCAGCCACCACTGCTTTTATTAATTTCTACTACATCTTTGTCTGTTCCCTTTAGCCCAAGAGTCCTCCAGGAGACGGAGAGGCAGTCTTGGCCGCACCACAGACCCCACCGTGGGTAGATGAAGAAAGCTATGGAGGCTGAGGACAGCGGGACCACCACCAGGTCTTTCTACACAATCAGCGAGGGTCCGGGCCATCTCCCCTGTGTGTTCTGGGCGTACCACCCAGCTGACACGAGAAAGTAGCTCTGGGAGAACAACGGGAGGGAGGGAGCTGAGTCAACTAACCCCAGGGAATGTCTGGGGAGATATTTCCCGTGGACCAGGGCCCCTAAGAGGCAACAATCCAGACACACTTGCAAAGCAGGTTTGTGCACGTGACAGCACGCCAGCCCTATGCTGACCTCATGGCCTCTCCTTAACATGAACAGCACAAGGGATTAACTGGGCTTGCCAATGCCGGCTACAGCCTTCCCACAGGATGGAGACACAAACTACCCAGACTGCGGCCAGGGGCAGTGGCTCACACCTGTCATCCCAGCACTTCGGGAGGCCAAGATAGGAGGATTGCCTGAGTCCAGGAGTTTGAGGCCAACCAGAGCAACACAGCAAGACCCCATCTCTACAAAAAAAATAAAATAAAAAAATAAGCCAAGCATGGTGGTGCACACCTGTTGTCCCAGCTACTCAGGAGGCTGAGGCGGGAGAATTGCCTGAACCCAGGAGGTCGAGGTTGCAGAGCTGTGACCATGCCACTGCACTCCAGCCTGGACAACAGAGTGAGACCCCAACTTAAAATACATGACACGAACTGAAGAGGAAGTATGTCCGGCTGAGTCAAAGACCGCAAACTGCTAAGCCGCTGCATACGCTGGTAGTCGCAGACACGGGCGCTCAGGTTGAAAGGGCAACATAGTGCCACTGCTAATGGCTGACACTTTCTGAGAAGGGGGGGATATGCAGGCGACGTGTCCCACCTCCTCCCCATCTCTGGCCTCACTGCTCACAGCCAAGCGGCAGGGCTGACGGACAAGTGTCTGCTGGGACCAGGGCCCTCCAGGGCTGCTCTTTCCACGGGGGGTCACACTTCTGATCCCACGTGCCAGTGCCCCTCGCAGGCTGGCCCACACACCTTCTATGTCCCATGACGATCATGCGCAGCTTGTCCCCAAGGTCCTGCATCTCGTGGATCTGGGCAAATGTCCCCGTGTGGTAGATCTCATCCAGGCTTTCGACCACGTCGGACTCATTGCTGGGGGAGAGGAACGCAGAGGAGTGCTGAGGCTCAGTGGCCGCCATGGGCCGAGGGGAGGCGACGGAGAAAAGAAACACCGCTGCCAGGCACCACTGAGAGCCAAGAGCAGCCTCCTGGGTGCCCACCCAGAGCAAGGTCTGCCCCAGTGGTGACAGCCCCCGGGAGGGCAGCTCCTCCCTAAGTCGGTCAGGAAGGTGGGCCCAGACGGGACTTGGCCTTTCTTCTCTTAGGACGCATGCTAATTTCTGCATGGAGTCAAGGTGGATGGACCTGGAGCTGCCTTGGGCGCCCAGCTCGCCTCGCTGGAACAGCATCACAGGCGCATTTTACTGCTCAGGGCCCTTGCGGTCAACCCCTCCCACCGAGACTCTGCAAGGAACAGGGTGCGAGGAGCCACCAGCTGAGTCCTCAACTCAGGCTGAAAAGGGAGACTGCCCGGTTATTGGCCTTTTCCCTGGAGATCACCCCTGGTTTCTTTTAGGTCACACAAAGGCCCAGACTACTCTACAGAGCAGTATTTGCGGTGAGCTACACTCGAAGGCGATTTCAGCGAAGGAAGGAAACGACACTTACTTGTCATCTCTCTTTAGAAAGACGCCGACATAAGGCTGGGCAAGTCGAACTTTCCTTCTTAGCAGCTCAACCAACTTCTTATTTTTAACCTAGTATGACAACGACCCCAAAGTGAAATGCAGGGTAGGTTCTTTTTTCTTTTTATAGTCTCCATTTTCAACATTTATTTGTATCTTATAACATCAACAATTAGTTACTCCAAAAATTTCAATCACAGTGTTCTTGAATCCAAACAGTGGTCTGGTCTAATGTGTTGGCATTTTCATCAAGTACAATCCTAGAAAATGTCAAGTTGAACAATAAGATATTAAAGCACATTGATCACTGTGTATTCTGGATTCTTCACTATTGTCAGATGAAGTATTTACTATATTTCATTTTGATTCTTTGGCTACTTTTTATTTTTGCTTTGGGCAACACCACTGACATTTTTGACAGCAGCTCTAGAGATTTCTAGATTATTCTCTGGGGGCAAGCTAATCTGACCCAGGACCCTAAACCAAACCAAAATGAACCAAACTGGGACAGGGGGTGGTGGTGGTCAGTGAAGTGAGGCAGGATTGACTAGTTGCATTTCTTAGTGCCCCTCCCTTCCTAAAGAAAAGTCAGAGTAGACAAACAGCCAGGATCAAGAAATTGATTTAACATTCAGTTTCAACAGGATTTCACTGACAGAATGTCTTGATTTGAAAATCAGAACCATTCTGCTTTTATTAATGTCAGAAGACAACATAAACGTGTATTTCAAATGTGGCCCACCCCAGGGAGCTGGTAACTTCCACTTGCACTGAAAGTGATTTTCTAATCACACCTATATGCTATTTATTCATGATCAAAACTCCCAGGATGAACAGACAGCTCCCTTATTGCTGTTCTGCCTGCTGCTCTCTGGCAGCATACTCAGTAAATTTATTTTACTACTTTTTTTTTGAGAAAGCAGGATTTATTGAGAGGAAAGAAAAGTTCCCACAGTGGGAAGGGACCCGAAGGGGTTGCCCCTATTTTTATACTTTTAAAAAACAACAACTACAACAACAAAAGCTCAGGATTGCAGTACATTCTCGATGTCATTTCAATGGTAGGTTCAGGGTTAATGGCGTCTTCTAGCAAACATCTGATGAAGCAAGGAGCACAGATGTCCTTAGGCTCGCTGACATTTTTTTTGAGTCAGATCCTCACTGTCATCCAGGCTGGGGTGCAGTGCCACTAACACAGCTCACCACAGGTTCAGGTGATCATCCTGTCTCCGTCTCCTGAGTAGCTGGGACTACATACTGGCAAGAGCCGCCACACCCGGCTCATGTATTTTTATTTTTATTTTAAATAGAGACAAGGTCTTGCTATGTTGCCCAGGCTGGTCTCGAAGTCCTGGCCTCAAGGGGTCCTCCTGCTTCAGCCTCTCCAAGTGCTGGGAGTCAAGCATGACAGGCTCACTTGATTTCTTTCAAGCTTACGATAACACCCAGGCCAGACCTGGATTCACTTAATGGCCCTCAAACTTTGGTAGACATCAGAGTTACCTGGAGGACTTGTTAAAACTGACTGCTGGGCTGGGTGCAGTGGCTCACACCTGTAATCCCTGCACTTTGGGAGGTCGAGGCGAGAGGACTCCCTGACCTCATGGTTGGAAACTAGCTTGGGCAACTTGGCAAGATCCTGTCTCTACAATAAATCAAAAAAATCGGTCAGATGTGGTGGCACATGCCTGTAGTCCCAGCTACTTGGCAGGGGGTGCAGGGGATGGCTGAGGCGAGAGGACTGTCTGAGCCTAGCAGGTTGAAGCAGTGGTGGCTCCAGCCTGGGTGAGACACCGACTCAAAAAATTAAAAAAACAAACAAACCCGACTGCTGGGCCCACCTGGAGTTTCTGACTTAAGTGGCCTGGGTTGGGTCCAAGAATCTGTATTCCAAACAAGCTCCAGGGTGTGCTGCCAATGCTAGTCCAGACCACCCTTTGAGAGGCACTGTTTTAACTCATTAGTGGGGGATCTTCACTTACAGTCCAGGAATTCCTTTCACTATATTTTTTTCTAGGAAGAAGGGACATTCACTGGGTCCCAAAGAAGCTGCCCCAATCTCTCCTCTACCAATAGCTGACTTCATCTTTGGCCACCTGCCTCCCCTGCCTGGGTACAATCCCTTTTATTTTCAAATTACCACCAACCAAAAGACAGGGAGTACCAACTGCCAGTCTCCCAAGTGCCAGTCTCCCACAGCAACTCATCCATCCTGGCTAGCTCCACATGGGCAGAGCACCATCTTGAAAGAATCATCTCTCTGTTCAGGTGCTGGGAGCAAGGAGCATCAGTCACACTGCAGAGCTGAGACCAGTCCTGGCCCCAGGAGCCTTGGGAGGAGGGTAAAGACACCTGCCAGAGGTGAAGTCAAGGATAGGAAAAGCCGGGCTTGGTGGCTCAGCCTGTAATCCCGCGCCTTGGGAGGCTGAGGTGAGTGGATTGCCTGCGCCCACGGGTTCGAGACCTCATCTCTACAATAAATTTTAAAAATGAGCCGGGTATGGTAGCGTGTGCCTGTAGTTCCAGCTACTTGAAGGCTGAGGCAGGATTGCCGGAGCCCAGCAGGTCGAGGCTGCGGTGGCCGGGAGCGGCCACTGCACTCCAGTCTGGGCGACAGAGTGAGACTCCAACTCAGAAAAAAAAGGATAGGAAAAAGGCCTAGGGTGGGTTTCTTAAATGTCAGAAGTGCACCAAGTAGGACCAGCAGCAGTGATTACTGAGGCATTCAAACCACCAGGCATGGTTCTGAATCTTCACACATAGGACCTCATTTAACAACAGTTCTAAAAAATGATATTATGTCCATTTCCCAGGTAAGTGGAGGTCCAGGAATAACAAGCTGTAGGTATGGAGCCAGGACAGGACTCCACAGGGTCTGGCTCCAAAGCCTGCACTAGTAACCACCACCCGATATCAAGGGCCTGGGAAGGGTGGCTCAGACACACACAGTTAGCAGTGTAGGAGAAGCTCTCGCGTTCCCTCCTAACTGGCTGCTGCCCCCCTGTACTGTCCTTTTCCCGTCCAAGGGATCCTTGAGATTTATTTAGCAGAGTCTGGAGGGTGGGGGGAGAGGCTGGAGGGTGAACAGAGGCTGACTCACTGTTTGACCTTGCTTAGACAGTTAAGAGACAACCTTTCTTTCATGGACTCTAGTTTCCACATCAGAAGAGGTTGAGGGGAAGGCATTCGAGTCCTTCCTACTCTAAAAGTTCAAGTTCCTTGGACTCACTGACTGGTTTCTCTCTGTTACATCACCCTGCTTCCTCTCCAACCCAAGACTTTTAATCTGAAGGGATCTTATACCTCTACCAGAAATAAGTTCCTTCAGCCAGGCACTGTTTGACTTACAGTATTCTCAGTACTTACTACACGATAAAAGGTCAAGAACTCTGTGAAAGAATAAAAAACGTCTCCTTCCCACCTTTCTCCTAAGCCTCCCGTGACCATGTTAAGCTCCAAAGGCAGATTTTTTTTTTTTTTTTTGAGACAGGGTTGTGCTATGTTGCCCAGGCTGGACTCGACTTCCCCCACTCAAGCGATCCTCCCGCCTCAGTAGCTGGGATTACTGGTGTGAGTCACCACACCAGGCTTCAGAGGCAGAAGTTTCTGTCTTGTTCACTGCCATATCCCCAGCACCTTGAACAGCGTCTGGCATAGAATAAGCAGTCAAGAAACACTTGTTTCATGAAAAAGAATGAGTCCTGATCCCAACGGGGCTTGTAACCAGACGGCAGAATGCCTGTGGGAGAGGCTGTTACAAAACATGTGCCAAGTAAGCAGAAAAGTAACAGCGCCGCTACACTGTTCGGGTCCCTCCCAGCCCCGGATTTCAACCACCGGTGAACAGTCCTAAGCTCATCAGGTTCAACTCCTCTCATCTAACAGAACCTAAGAGATCCGAAAGGAGGAATTTGGCTCAAGGTCCCCAAGCTAGTGGTGAGCACACGAGGATTCAAACTCCAGCCTTCGAGAAACTTCGTGTCTGAAAAAGTTGCGCGGCACGAGGGCGCTAAGTGATCCCACGGTCCAACCCGCTGCTCGCAGAGGTGGGAAAACTTGAGGCCGAGGCGGGGCTCTCATTACCTCGATAATCTTGATAAAGCGCGGGAACACCGGGTTGCGGGTGATGGCGATGAGCGGCAGGTGCGGGAACACGTCGGGGATCGTCATGGGCGTGAGCGCCGTTATGACCGGGCCTTCTCCACCGCCCGCACTGCTCCCCGTGCCCCCGGCCCCTTCTTCCGCGCCGCCCTCGGAGGAATCCTCGCCCCCCGAGAATGCGCTGCTGCTACCGCGGCTGTTCGCCTCCCAAAACCCCCGCCACTGGCCCGCAGTCGCCGGGCCTCCGCCCCACTGCGCCCAAGGAGGAGAGGCCTCGCAGGCCCTCCGGCCTTTGGGCAGCCACGCTCCGGCGGCAGTGGGGACCCGCCCCCCGGCGGCGGCCAGTATCGGCCGCCGCAGCGCCCAACTCCGCGCCGCTCCCCACAGTCTCACGTAGCCTGTGCCCGCCGCCATAGCCCGGCCATACTGACGGCGCGCAGGACTCGCGTCATTTCCGCTCGCCGGGTGGAAGCGCACGTGACGCGCGGCGCGTGCCTCGGCTCCGGAGGGGGCGTGGCCCGAGGCAGCCGCAACGAGGGGAGAGGCCTACGCGAAGCGAAAGGGGCGGAGTTCGAGTTCCCTCGTCACCTCCACCTGTTCCGGTCTCCCGACTTGTGCGCTCAAAACTCTTTCCGGTCACGTAGAAAGCTGTGGGCTCGCGCTAGAAAGAATCGGTGTTGCGCCAAACGCGCAGCCTTTGGGAACTTGTGGGCATCCTGGGCTGACTCTTAGGCGCGCGGGTGACAATGCGCATGCTCCGCTCTGAGGCTTGTAGTGGTGAGCAGATTTAGGCTTCCCTTTGACGGCCTGCGCATGCTCAAACTCTAGACTGCACGTGGGTGGCCGAGGACGCATGCCCGGGCTCTGGGCGAGAGTTACTGTGCGCCGTTTCGGACTTTCCCGGGGATTGCCTGCGCATGCTCAGCGTCTGGACAGAGCGCAGTGCTGCCGTGTGCGCATGCCCAGGACATGGAGCCCATTCGTGCGCATGCGTGGGCCCGTCTGCCCCTCCCTAGGCTGTGCAGCGACCCCTCGTGGCAGTTGAACGGCAGTACTGGCGGCGGAGGCCCTTGCGAGATGCCGAGGTTGATGCTGGCGGTGGTGCTGACGGCGACTCTGCGGTTCTGCCCGGGGGTCAGAGCTCAGCCGCTGTGCCGGTGGGGCTGCCTTCCTGAGGCTGGGGTGCTGCCAGGGGTCGGGGGCTGGGCCATTTCCGAGTGGAGGCCGATTCCCCATCCTCCTGGAGGCTTCCCGGTTTTTACTTTTCGTAGGACTCGAACTGCTGCCTCCCTTTCTCCCAGCGGGTCAGCCCATCTCCAAGTCCTCCCGTTTCTAATCCAGACCTGCTTTGCGGGTCCTTCCCCTCCAGGCCACTTCCTCTGCCCGTCTGTCCATTCTCACCCAGCAGTCAGAGGGATTTCTTTCTTTTTTTTTAGTCAGAGTCACACCCAAGCTGGAGTGCAGTGGCACGATCATAGCTCACTGCAACCTCGAACTACTGGATTTGAGCGATCCTCCTGCCTCAGGCCTCCGAGTAGCCGGGACTACAGGTGTGCACCACCACACCCGGCTACTTTGTAACATTTTTTGTGGAGCGAATCCTGCTCTGTTGCCCCTCCAGGTCTCGAACTCCTGGCCTCCCCAATTGCTGGACGCGTGAGCTACCATGCCCGGCCTCATTTACAAGCAAATCTGATCTCGTCTATGCCCTTTTGTTTCTCTATCGAACCCAGAATAAAGCCCGTGTTCCTTGAGCAGCCTGCAGTCTCTCCCAGGATTTGGCGCAGTTTCTAAACAGCATCGCTGCTGTTGACAATTGGGACTGGGTAATTTCCTCTGGGCATGTCCTGTGCATGGTGCCATGTTTAGAAGGATCCCTGGTCTCCACTCTAGAGATACCAATAACTAAGCCCTCTAGACTTGACAATCACGCCAAAGTGTCGGCCAAGCAGGTCGCTCACACCTGTAATCCCAGCACTCTGGGAGACTGAGGCAGGAGGATTGTCTGAGCCCACGGGTTCGAGACCAGCCTGGGCAACTTGGCGAGACCTCATCTCTACAATAAATCAAAAATGAGTCGGGGTGTGGTGACGCACGCCTGTGGTTCCAACTACTTGAAAGGCTGAGGCAGAAGGATCGCCTGAGCCCAGCAGGTCGACGCATGATCACGGATCGCCACAGTCTCGACCTTCTGGGCTCGGGCAGTCTTCCTGCCTCAGCTCCTGAGTAGCTGGGGCTACAAGTGCATGCCATCACACCCTGGTCGTTTTAAACGTTTTTTGAAGAGACAGGGTCTTGCTACGTTGTCCAGGCTGGTCTCGAACTCTTGGGCTCATACAATCCTCCCACCTCCGCCTCCCAGAGTGCTGGAATTATGGGCATGAGTCACTGCGCCTGGCCACTTGTTGTTGTTGTTGTTGTTGGGGGAAGTGGGTAAGGAGAGGAGAAGGGATCTCCTGTATAGTTTAGGCTGGTCTCTAACTCCTGGCCTCAAGCAGTCCTTCTAACTCAGCTTCCTAAGCAGCTGGGATTGGAGACCCCACCGCGCTTGGCTTTTTTCTTTCTTCTATAAATTGTTTCTTTTCTGTTGCTGTCACTAGTGTCTTTGTTCCGTGAAGGTGTAGACTGTTGATCATATTCCTTACCCAGTACATTTTTGTTGTTGTTGGAGTCTCCCTCTATTGCCTAGACTGGAGGGCAGTGGCATGCTCATCGCCACCGCAGCCTCAGCCTGCTGGGCTCAGGCAATCCTTCCACCTCAGCTTTCCAAATAGCTGGAACTACAAGCATGCGCCACCACGCCCAGCTAATTTTTTGATTTATTGTAGAGATGAGGCCTCGCCAAGTTGCCCAGGCTGGTCTCGAACACGTGAGCTCAGGCGATCCTCTCACCTTGGCCTCCCAACATGCTGGGATTAGAGGCGTGAGCCACCGCGCCCGGCCTACCCAGTACGTTTTTAAATTTAAGTGTTAGATTAGTGGACCCTGTGTGCAGAGCGCCATGGTGGCCACACAGTTGCTGAAGCTGAGCCCATGGGTTCGAGATCAGCCTGGGCAACTTGGTGAGACCTCGTCTCTATCTTCACAATAAATCACAAAAACTAACCAGGTGTGGTGGCGTGCGTCTGTAGTTCCAGCTATTTGGAAGGCTGAGGTGGAGGGATCGCCGGAGCCCAGCAGGTCAAGGCTGAGGTGGCTGGGAGCGTGCCACTGCACTCCAGTCTGGGCGACAGAGTGAGACTCGGACTCAAAAAAAAAAGAAATGTGTTACCTCCAATTATCTAATTTCCCTACATAGATTCTCAAAGTGTGGTCCCTGGCAGCAGCGGCATCAGGATAACCTGGGAGTTTGTTAGACTTGATTAGAAATTCAGTTTCCTGGCCGGGCTCAGTGGCTCAGCCTGTCATCCCAGCACTTTGGGAGGCCGAAGCGAGTAGATTGCCTGAGCCCGCGGCTTTGAGACCCACCCAGGTAACTTGGCAAGACCTTGTCTCTGCTATCAATCAAAAATTAGCCAGGCGTGGTAACGCGCGCCTGTAGTTCCAGCTACTTGGAAGGCTGAGGCGGAAGGATCGCCGGAGCCCAGCAGGTCGAGGCTGCAGTGACCGGGAGCATGCCACTGCACTCTAGTCTGGACAACAGAGTGAGACTCCAACTCAAAAAAAAAAAAAAAAAAGGAAAAAAGAAATGCAGTTCCTTGGACCTGCTGAATCAGAGACTTGGCAGTGGGTCCAGCAAACCGCGGTTTCTCAAGCACTTTAGGTGATTGTGATGCACATTCAAGACTAAGAACCTCGGCCAAGTGTGGTGGCTCGCACCTATGACCCCACCCCTCTGAGAGGCCAAGCCGGGAGGATTGCTTGAGCCCAGGAGTTTGAGACCAGCCTGGGCAACATAGTAATACCTCATCTCTACCAAAAAAATTAAAAAATTAGCCGGGTGTGGTGGCGTGCACAGGTAGTCCCAGCTACTTGAAAGGCTGATATGGAAGGATCGCCTGAGCCCAAGAGTTCAAGACTGCAGTAGCCATGATGATGCCACTGCACTCCAGCCTGGGCAACAGAGTGAGACCCCGACTCAAAACAAAGAAAGAACAGATACTTTAGAGTGAACCCCAAGGCAGCCCAGCAGGAGAAGTCATGCTGAATGTTCAATAAGAATTGACTGATTGTCTCTTACCTCTAGGGCCTTCACCGTGAGGACAGGAAAAGTGTTTAATGTCGCACAGAATGTACAGGGGGTAGGTGGCTCCACACTTAAATTCATCCTTCACTTTAATGACTGGGTAAAAGCTAACCTTTCCTAGCGTTTCTTGGGTGCTTGTGTTGTACCATTCAGGCATTTAAGAATGTTACTTTATCCAGTTAATTCATTGCCCTTTGAGTAGGGTTCAATCTTTCCCATTTCATGAAAAAAAAAAAAAACAAGTTGAGAGAGATAGTAATCTGAACAAAAGCAAGAGGTTTTGGATTAATGGGTTGATGGATTGATTGACTGTAGAGATAGAGTCTCACTGTGTTGCCCAGGCTGGAGTGCAGTGGCTTGATCATGGCTCACCACAGCCTTGACCTCCTGGGCTCCTGTGATCCTTCTGCCTCAGCCTCCCGAGTAGCTGGGATTTCAGGTGTCTGTCACCACACCTGGCTGTTTTTTTATGTTTTTGTAGAGACGAGGTCTTGCCAAGTTACCCAGGCTGGTCTCCAATCTCTGGGCTCAGGCAATCCTCTCGCCTCGGCCTCCCAGAGTGCTGGGATTACAGGCGTGAGCCACCACACCTAGCCAAAGCCAATTTTTAAAAAAAACTATTTATTTGGACATGATTATACATTTGCAGCAAGTTACAAACATACTACAGAGAAGTCCCAGGATCCCTGCCCCAGACTCCCCCAGTGGTCACATCTGATAGGACAATAGTACAATATCGCAATAGAAAAATGACATTGGCACAATCCACCTACCTAATTCAGATTTCACCCTTTACATTAGCAATGTTGAATATTAGGAAACTGCTTTATCAACTGTTTATGATCATTCCTATTCTTAAGATTTTGTGGTCATCTCTCTAGGAAGTGCTGTATTTTTCATCTTCGACAACACGCTTGATTATACATCCTTGCAACAGAAATGTGGCGTTGTATCTAGGGTAAACAGCCATTTTTATATACTCTGCCCTTCTTTATATTATTTTTTATGTATTTTGAGTTGGGGTCTTACTCTGTCACTTATGCTGGAGTGCAGTGGCATGGTCACGAATACCGAATCTTTGATCTCCTGGGCTCAGGTGATCCTTCTGCCTCAGCTGCCCAAGTAGCTGAGACTACAGGTGTGAGCCACCACTCATGATCAGTTTTTTTTTTTTTTTTTTGAGTTGAAGTCTCACTCTGTTGCCCAGACTGGAGTGTAGTGGCCGCTCCTGGCCACTGCAGCCTCAACCTGCTGGGCTCCGGCGATCCTTCCGCCTCAGCCTTCC